GGTTCCCAGGGCCAGGGAGCAGCCCTGGGGCCTGTGCATATGTGCAGGGGTTGGGGAGTCGGTGTGGGTCCCTCCTACCTGGCTGCCCAGCAGGACACTTGGGGTCACCAGAGGTCCCCTGGGCATCCAGGCAGACGGGTAGCAGTGCCCACCCTTGATTGTCCGAAACAGGTGCACAACCGGTTACTCCCATTGAGATGGCTGGGGAGTTCCTCTGTTACCCCACAGCCCTTCCAGCCACACGGGGTTGCTGGGGGACCCAGGGGCAGGGCTGAGCTCTGTCCCAATGGCTCCACGAGGATCCCCCAGAGGCCGTGGAGTTCAGGTGTGCGCTGTAGCTGCGAGCTCTGCAGCCAGCCCCGATGACGGGCTGTACGGGCCAGAACAGGAGAGAATGCTGGCATCTTCTCCGTGATCCCTTCTGCTCCCACAGGAGACTCGGGGCAGGCCAGCCCCACCCTTTTTTTGTTTTGTTTTGTTTTCTGTCGCCCAGGCTGGAGTGCAGAGGCCGGATTTCAGCTCACTGCAAGCTCCCCCTCCCAGGTTTACGCCATTCTCCTGCCTCAGCCTCCCGAGTAGCTGGGACTACAGGCGCCCACCACCTCGCCTGGCTAGTTTTTTTTGTATTTTTTAGTAGAGACGGGGTTTCACCGTGTTAGCCAGGATGGTCTCAATATCCTGACCTCGTGATCCGCCCGTCTAGGCCTCCCAAAGTGCTGGGATTACAGACTTGAGCCACCGAGCCCGGCCCCCCACCCTTCTTGAACCCGCGATCCCGATGGCTCTCCTTTTACACACCCCGTTTCCTTACGTATCTTTGCACTCACAAGGTTCCGGAGTCACCTCTAACATCTGAGGACAGCCAGCCACGGAGCCCGTGGGCAGGAAGCTCATCAAGAGGCCTGCGAAGGCCTCACCCAGTGGAGGCTCAGGTTACGGCCACCCAGGAAATGGAGCATGGAAGTAAAAACAGTCCAGGGGACCAGGAAGAAGGTGCACGCTCAACGGGACGGTCTGTCTGCTCTCTGCATGGGGGGCACACAGGCAGCTCGAGACCCCCGGCCCCTTTGTTGCTTTGGAGTTCACCTTGCACGCGCTAAGATGCCCAAGCTTTTCAAAGCAGGCTCAAACCTTAGGTTTCCCATGGGAGGTTCTTCCTTATACCAGGGTTTACAGATACTCTTAGAGCAGCTCTTCTCCATGGGTGCGGTCCTGACGTCCAAGGGATCTGACATATAGTGCCTTGTTTACCGGGACTTGAACCCCAAAGGCCTTGCAAAAATGCCTCTGTAAAATGGTCAGGGTCCCAATGATCCCATGTATAGCGCCGCTTTAAAGCTTTAATGGGCAGAGAGCCAAAAGAGTCCCCAAATAGTACATTTCTCCACAAAAAAAAAATCCACAATAGCGTCTTCCTCTAAAAAAAAGTGTGTCTTTTTTGTTTTAATGCAGGAAAGACTTCAGCAATTGATGAGCAGCAGGAAAGAGACCATTTTGCTGAAATTGATGCGGAAGAGAAGGCGTAAAGTCAGTTTTGCCTGTCAGATAATGTCTTCTAAGAAAAATCAGCTTTGGAGCCAAGCATGGTGGCTCACGCCTGTAATCCTAGCACTTTGGGAGGCCGAGGTGGGTGAATCACTTGAGGTCAGGAGTTCGAGACCAGCCTGGCGAATACGGTGAAACCCCGTCTCACCAAAAATACAAATGTTAGCCAGGCGTGGCGGCATTTGCCTGCAATCCCAACTATTCAGGAGGCTGAGGCATGAGAATTGCTTGAATCTGGGAGACAGAGAAGTCAGCTTTGGATCATATAATCACTGTTCTATGCAGAACATTTAACATAAGACATTTCTTCTTAAACATGGCATTTTGTGTAGCATTATGTTAAAATTCTGATGTAACATTTTTCTTCTTTTTTATTATAGGGATACATGTGCAGAACGTGCAGGTTTGTTACATAGGTATACACGTGTCATGGTGGTTTCCTGCACCCATCAACCCATCATCTACATTAGGTATTTCTCCTAATGCTATCCCTCTTCTAGCTCTCCACCCCTGACAGACCCCAGTGTGTGATGTTCCCCCTCCCTGTGTCCATGTGTTCTCGTTGTTCAACTCCTACTTATGAGTGAGAACATGCAGTGTTTGTGTTTTCTGTTCCTGTATGAGTTTGCTGAGAATGATGGTTTCCAGCTGCATCCATGTCACTGCAAAGGACATGAACTCATCCTTTTTTATGGCTGCAACAGTATTCCATGATGTATATGTGCCATATTTTCTTTATCCAGTCTATCATTGATGGGCATTTGGGTTGGTTCCAAGTCTTTGCTATTGTGAATAGTGCTGCAATAAACATATGTATGCATGTGTTTTTATAGTAGAATGATTTACAATCCTCTGGGTATATATCTAGTAATGAGACTGCTGGGTCAAATGGTATTTCTGATTCTAGATCCTTGCAGAATCACCACACTGTCTTCCACATTGGTTGAACTAATTTACACTTCCACCAACAGTGTAAAAGCATTCCTATTTCTCGACATCCTCCCCAGCATCTGTTGTTTCCTGACTTTTTAATGATCAGTGTTCTAACTGGCATGAAATGGTATCTCATTGTGGTTTTGATTTGCATTTCTCTAATGACCAGTGATGACAAGCTTTTTTTCATATGTTCGCTGGCTGCATAAATTTCTTCTTTTGAGAAGTGTCTGTTCATATCCTTCACCCACTTTTTGATGGGGTTGTTTGTTATTTTTCATGTAAATTTGTTTAAGTTCCTTGTAGATTCTGGATATTAGCCCTTTGTCAGATGGATAGATTGCAAAAATTTTCTCCCATTCTGTGGGTTGCCTGTTCACTCTGATGATAGTTTCTTTTGCTATGCAGAAGCTCTTTAGTTTAATTAGATCCCATTTGTCTATTTTGGCTTTTGTTGCCATTGCTTTCAGTGTTTTAGTCATGAAGTCTTTGCCCGTGCCAATGTCCTGAATGGTATTGTCTAGGTTTTCTTCTAGGGTTTTTATGGTTTTAGGCCTTACATTTAAGTGTTTCATTAATCTTGAGCTAATTTTTGTGTAAGGTGTAAGGAAGGGATCCAGTTTCAGTTTTTGGCATATGGCTAGCCAGTTTTCCCAATACCATTTATTAAATAGGGAATCCTTTCCCCATTGCTTGTTTTTATCAGGTTTGTCAAAGATCAGATGGTTGTACATGTGTAGCAGTATTTCTGAGGCCTCTGTTCTGTTCTATTGGTCTATATATCTATTTTGGTACTAGTACCATGCTGTTTTGGTTACTGTAGCCTTGTAATATAGTTTGAAGTCACGTAGCGTGATGCCTCCAGCTTTTTTCTTTTTGCTTAGGATTGTCTTGGCTATACAGGCTCTTTTTTTGTTCCATATGAAATTCAAAGTAGTTTTTTCTAATTCTGTGAAGAAAGTTAATGGTAGCTTGATGGGGATAGCATTGAATCTATAAATTACTTTGGGCAGTATGGCCATTTTCACAATATTGATTCTTCCTAACCATGAGCATGGAATGTTTTTCCATTTGTTTGTGTCCTCTCTTCCTTCTTTGACCAGTGGTTTGTAGTTCTCCTTGAAGAGGTCCTTTGCACCCCTTGTAAGTTGTATTCCTTGGTATTTTATTCCCTTTGTATTGTGAATGGGAGTTCACTCATGATTTGGCTGTCTATTACTGGTGTATAAGAATGCTTGCAATTTCTGCACATTTATTTTGTATCCTGAGACTTTGCTGAAGTTGCTTATCAGCTTAAGGATATTTTGGGCTGAGATGATGGGGTTTTCTAAATATTCAATCATGTCATCTGCAAACAGAGACAATTTGACTTCCTCTCTTCCTATTTGAATACTCTTTATTTCTTTCTCTTGCCTGACTGCCCTGGCCAGAACTTCCAATACTATGTTGAATAGGAGTAGTAAGAGAGGGCATCCTTGTCTTGTGCTGGTTTTCAAAGGGAATGCTTCCAGCTTTTGCCCATTCAGGATGATATTGGCTGTGGGTTTCTCATAAATAGCTCTTATTATTTTGAGATATGTTCCATCAATATCTAGTTTATTTAGAGTTTTTAGCATGAAGGGATGTTGAATTTTATCAAAGGCCTTTTTCTGCATCTATTGAGATAATCACGTGGTTTTTGTCATTGGTTCCGTTTATGTGATGGATTACATTTATTGATTTGTGTATGTTGAACCAGCCTTGCATCCCAGGGATGAAGCCGACTTGATAGTGGTGGATAAGCTTTTTGATATGCTACTGGATTAGGTTTGCCAGTATTTTACTGATGATTTTCACATTAATGTTCATCAGGGATATTTGCCTGAAATTTTCTTTTTTTCTTGTGTCTCTGCCAGGTTTTGGTATCAGGATCATGCTGGATTCATAAAATGAGTTAGGGAGGAGTCCCTCTTTTTCTGTTTGGAATAGTTTCAGAAGGAATGGTACCAGCTCCTCTTTGTACCTCTGGTAGAATTCAGCTGTGAATCCGTCTGATCCTGGGATTTTTTTGGTTGGTAGGCTATTACTGCCTCAATTTCAGAACTTATTATTTGTCTATTCAGGAATTCAACTTCTTCCTAGTTTAGTCTTGGGAGGGTGTATGTGTCCAGGAATTTATCAATTTCTTCCAGATTTTCTAGTTTATTTGCATGGAGGTGTTTATAGTATTCTGATAGTAGTTTGTATTTCTGTGAGATCAGTGGTGATATCCCCTTTATCATTTTTTATTGTGTCTATTTGATTCTTGTCTCTTTTCTTCTTTAATAGTCTGGCTAGCAGTCTATCTATTTTGTTAATCTTTTCAAAAAAACAACTCCTGGATTCATTGATTTTTTGAAGAGTTTTTCATGTCTCTATCAACTTCAGTTCTGCTCTGATCTTAGTTATTTCTTGTTTTCTGCTAGCTTTTGAATTTGTTTGCTCTTGCTTCTCTAGTTCTTTTCATTGTGATGTTAGAGTATTGATTTTAGATCTTTCCCGCTTTCTCCTGTGTGCATTTAGTGCTATAAATTTCCCTGATGTAACTTTTTTTTTTTTTTTTACAGGGTTGAAATCCAGAAGCTAGAAGATATTGCAGGTATGTTTTAGGAGCTATTTGTAGTTTATGAAAATTGTTTTCAATCATACAACTGTTACAGTAGGCTGTACGAAGTAGTGGACAAGACTGTCTTAAATGCCTTCTTCTCATATATAGCATTTAACATAATCTGTTTGATAAATTTTTCTTACCTACCTTTTCGATGTTGATGTGGAATGTGAGAATTCTTCTAATAATGGGGAAGGGAGAGGGATGGCTTTTCTTTCATACACGTGGAAATTTAATTGTTTGGGGGGATATTAGAGGACACTGGAGGAGAAACAGCTCTATTCGTTTCTTTTAGTGTACACACATTAAGTCATACATCAGTTTTTTTAGCTTTTATTTTAGGTTTGGGGGTACATGTGCAGGTTTATTATAAAGATAAATTGCAAGTCACAGGGGTTTGGTATACAGATTATTTTGTTACTTAGGTTATAGCATAATACCAGATGAGTGGTTTTCAATCCTTACCCTCCTCCTACCCTCCACCCTGAAGTAGGCCCAGTTGTCTGTTGTTCCCTTCTTCCTGTCCGTATGTACTCAGAGTTTTTAATATGAGTTTTTCATGTTTCTAATTTAGCTATTCTATTGTCACAGCTTTCTGATTTTTGTTTTCTTTAAAGTACCAGAAAAAAATTGAATTCTCTAAAATGATTATTTTCTATTATTATTCCAGTAATAAACTGTGTAGTAGAAAAGAAAAGACAACTTTCCTACCCAGTGAGAAACATCTAATTAATTGGATCCAAAACCCCATAAATTTTATACTGCCATGTGAAATATTAGTTGTACTGTTATAGGACCATTTTTTCAAAAAAGTTTGAGAAAATTTCTGTAGAGACCATGAAGACAATACTTATTTTTAAAAAGCTCAATTCAGTTTTCAGCTCTTCTATAGCGATGATTCATACAAGCAGTATATTTGGAAAGCTTTGCTCTGCTTGGTGGTGACAAAGTGCTTGTTTTGTGAGCTGCCTGATACATCGACCACTATAGATGGATACTGTGTGTAAGAAATATTTGAATTATGGTGCAGATCTTTTATGACTGCTGAAAACTATTCTTAGCAATTGATGGTAGATCTCTGATGTGAAACTATGTTTAGGAAAGCATTCCTTGCAGTATGACAGTCTTCTGAAACACAGCACTATGGATAAAAATGTCATATAAAAAGCTCCCAGAAAATACTTCAAACGTGTTTTTAAATGTATTTCTTTATCTACTTAAACCTAAATTTTTATACCCATGGACATTGCTTCTTTTATTAAAATACAGTTAATAGCATCAATCACTAGATTGCTTAAAAATACTTTCCTTATTGTGTATTAAGCTATGTCTACCCTTTTGATGGTCTTATTTTTATGTGCTTTACTTAATGAGTTGTGACAGTATTTCATGGAAACATGTCCTTTGAATTGTAGGACATTTTATAAATGTAGAAATTAAAGTCTGTTTGTTACCCTTTCTGCATATTTAAAAAATATAAACTGTTTTAACTATTTGCTTTTTTTCATCATCTGTCAATTAAGTGATTTGCTGTTATGCCAATTGGAATTGGAAAACTATTATTAATACCTGAAAGGTTTTACAGAAAATAAGTGAGTAAATCTTACTTTTTTGAAATGATCTTTCCATTTTACATTTTAAATATCCTTCTGATATTGCTGAACCATCATGTCCCATATTGTTTTCAATATATGCAAATAAACTACTTTTCAACATTAACTTTTAATGTATTTTCATTTACTATCTAGCTGAAATTAAAAAGGGTATTGCTGCAAAGAGAAAAAGGATTGAAAGGGTTGCAAAAGCTTGCAACGAAACAAAGAACAAAATTAAACACATTTTGAGAACAATACAACTAAAAATGTATGATTGTTGGCTTTTTTGAATAATGATATTTCTATCATTTCTTTGTATTCGTTAGTGCAGAATTTCAAAAACTATCCTGTACATATTGGCGTCTGCAGTGAACAACATGTTTTACTTGACTGTTCCCTAAGCAGGTAAGTTTCTTTTGTTTTATAACCTAAGTTTAAGAGAATTGAGGTATATTACCTAGAAAGTCAATGAAGATGACCTCTTTTTGCCTTCCAGATAAAAATAGTCTTCCTGTAAAATTAATTTTTATCAATTTCTAGAAATACAGTAGCTGCATGTAAGATAAATGTCTTCAACTTTTAGTCTGTAGATCCTTAACAATATTAAGTTATGTAGAAAGGGACAACCTTATGTTGTAAATAAGTTATCTATTTTAATTAAATTGTTTTCACTATCCCTTTTAGAAAATCATCATTGTGCCAAAGTGGAGAAATAGTTAAGTGAAGTATTTCTTTTGGGAAATCTTACGGTATGAATGGCTACGATATTCTTGAACCTACTTATGAGAACCCATATGTTATTTAGGAAATGAAAAGTAAACTGCTGTTAGAGAAAATGATTGTTTCTGGGAAATTTACAGTGCTGTAAACCCTCCTTTGTCTTCAGCATGTAAAGAATGTAAGAGAGCTGCTCTACTAGTCAGTTAGGAAGGAACCCTTTCAGAATGAGAGTAACTCATTTCACCTTTTCCCAAAAAGAAGATTTCAGCTGCTATTATTCCCTTGCTACTTTATAGTATAAATTATGTCAAGTCAGTTTTGGTTTGAATAGGGTTAATTTTTCATCTCTCTATGACATATGACCGTGTTACGTATTATGTGTTACAGGCAGAAACATAGTTATGGATGTTCTCTGAAGTTGCTGAATGTCCTTGAAGAATACATCACAGGTGAGCAGAAAGATGAAGAAGAAAGGAAGAGAAGAACTAATTGTTGGTATCCAGCTTAGCTTTATGATTAACCTATTGTAACAATGTCTCAGGTAGTAATAGTTCATGCAGAAATCCAGCAAAGGAGGAGGACAGCATGAGCCCAGAGAGGGGGGCCTGTTAGTGGACTCATGGACTAGGGGAATATAATTGCCATGCAGCATTAGGGGTCCAACTGAGGTCAGCGTCATAGGGATTAAGAAGTTAAAGTCAGCCCAGATGGCATATTTGTGCAAGAGCAACTTTAGTGCTGGAATTTCCTGGGTTGGGGTGTAGCCGAGCACATTGATAGAGGGAGAGTTGGTTGGGCAGGGCATATATATGGGAGGGCGGGGGTTATGATGACTGGCTGTGGAATTTCAGCTGGGACTGAGTTACCTGAGCACATGGGGGTGGGGTATTGGGCAGTGAAAAGTGCTCCATCCATTGGGTGTTGGGTCCCTACAGATTCCTGAGCTGTAGTACTGAAGTGAGTGACCTACAGTGACAGGGAGGTAGTGGCTGTGTATGTTGGGAAGATGGAGAAATAGCTGAGTGGAGTGATCAGGGCCTGGGACTCTGCAGCCACATTGCTTGGGATCCAACTTCAGTTTGACCATCGCTAGCTCAGAAACATGGGCAAATTATTTATCTCTGTGCCTCAGTTGCCTTATCTACGAAAGGAGACATGGTAAGAGTACCTACCTCAGAGTTGTTTGAAGGACGAAAAGGTTCTTATGTAATGGGTTTATTTAAATTTTTTAGGATGCGATCTCACCCATGGTTGCTCTTTATCGTTGCTATTATTGCTATTATTAATATTACGGGAGATGTTGCAGTCACTGGGAATGACAAAATCTAGGGGATGACTGTGTGTGCCACGTAGAGGAGAGGAGAACACTGTTGTTGGAGATTAGGTCAAGGTGCAGAAAGGCCATCATTATTGGAAGGTTCATCTATGTGCATATTGAAATGACCAAGTGTTTAAAATCTTAGTAACAAAAGAATATTTCTTAGTTAATTCTTCTATAGATCTTACCTATCTGTGGTCAACAAATTATAAGAAGGGTCAACAAACACTCTTTATTTGAAATCAAGAATTAGGACATACATGTTGAATATGTATAAGAAGGAATATTCTTTACCCCATGACTGATGAAAAAGATTATGTTGTTTTAGCATATGAGTGTTGAACACAATTGTTTAAAATTGGTCATAAATGTTGTCTAAAAGAAAGTGTTCAGAAGTATTGATTTAAAGAGTATCTATTTAAAGCTAATACAGAATTATGTTTTTTAAGTATTAAAATTTACCCAATTTTAATCACTTTTTAGTTTTGTGCCTCTGGAGAATATTTCAAGAGCAACAGAAGAGGTGACAACAAGATGGGAAAGGAACTGAAAGAGATTGAGCCGCCATGTGAGCAATTCACAAAGGTCTGTTCTATTTGGTATCACAATACATTCTTATAAAATACAACTCGTGAACAAAATAGAAGACAGTCTGCTTGTTTCTGAATGTATGGAAAGACCTTTTGGTTATACATTTTAAATTACCTACCATTTTCACTTTGAATATATTGTTCCAGATTTTACATAATTGGTAAATGTATTTTTAGGATTCATGAATAGTTTTTTGGGAGTTATTTAGAACAGAAAAAGGCAAATTGGAAATTTTACCTAGAAATATAAATCTTGTGTATAAAATTGATACTTTATGAACACATTAATGAAGATTTCATATTCAGTTTTTAGGAGATCAGCAACAGATCTTTAGTGGAAGGCAGGAAATCCATAAATCCTTTCTGGATGTCTTTTTCACTTGTCTTGTTTAAACAGTTTTAGTTAAATAGGAAGTAGGCAAGTGTTAACTACTGAGTATCTCTTTTATTTCCTGCTGGAATGTAGGAGTGTTTTATGGCATATTCACTTTCAAAATTATTAGTGACTAGTAATGGTTTTACATGAAATTTGTAATCATAAGAGATGGTTCAGATGTATAACAGAATGGGAAAGCCAGCAGATTATTAACACATTGTGAACTGTGAATTATCTGCTGTCATATAGCACATTAGCTAATCGTTATTGGACAATGACCTCTTCTTCATGTAGATGTATATTATTTAGGAAACAATGTAATTTTCTTGTGGGAGGTATTCTTTTTAATAACCTTGTGAAGAGACATATTCATATGTCACTCCTTTACACTAACTGAGATGCGTTAAATATACTGGGAAAAGAGTTTGAAAATAAAATTTTCAAGCAACTTGATGATCTGTACACAAACATTTATATAGAAGTCATGAGAAGAGAACATGTTGCTATAATGTTCCTCAGAAACCATTTATTAATTGGTATGAACATTAAACTAGAAAAGTTATCCTGTCAATGTTAATGCTACATGATACTTTGGTATCATCTTGGACTCTTCTGAGTCCATTATCCTATCCATGCAGTTATTGCGAGGCAAGTTTTACCTCTGTAATGGTCCTTTAATTTCTTTAAATTCTCACTGAGGCTGCCCTAGTTCAAGAACTCATTCTTCTTTGCTTGTACTATTAAACCCTTTTCTGAGTTCTCTCTTCCCTTCTGAGCCATCCTTCATTGATTAGCAATACTATCTTCCTAAAACCCTTCCCTTCCTAAAATGCTTCCTAGCCCTTCCCTCTTCCCAGCCTGTCAGTGGTGCCCATGTCTCAGTTCTTAGATATTCAGAGACTCTCCCCTTTACATGACCCCCTGTTAGGCTTGTTTTGCCACCCTCTGTCTTTCCTCCCAACTCTCCAGATTGACAGCCTTCCCTGAAGGAACTCACCGTCACTCCCATGCTTTGCCCACGCTCTTCCTTCCAAATGCTTTTAAAATCTTTTTTTTTTTTTTTTTTTGACCGATTGAAATCTTGTGCCAACTAAGTCAACATCAGTCTCCATATTTAGCTACATGTCCGAGTGAGTTGCTCTTCCATAGCAGTAACACAAGTTTTGTATTACTTTTTTATTCGTGCATTTGCTCATGTCACAGGAATATGGAAGAGATTGCGTGTTCATTTTTTACATCTTCCTCAGCATTAACATACAACATTTTAGGGAATAGGAACTGCCGAACTATTTGTTGAGGGAATAGTATATGTTTCAAACGTAGTTATGTTTTCTCTAACTTGATGAGGTCATATCACAGACCATTTTGTCCCTTCAATGAAATCCATGTTATGTGGACCATTAGTGATAACAAATGGTCACTATCTGGTGAAAAAATACAGTATTTCATGATATAAGACTGACAGTCTTTTTCTGTCTTTGGTCCATCTTGTCTGTAACATGTTCATCAAACCATTTTCTTCAAGCAAACTACATGACTGTTGGACCTGCTATAATAATATTTCACTGAAATCTGGAATTAAAATTTTAAGTGAGTATTTGGAGCTCCATGTATTGATTACAGTTTTAAAATTTGAAATAAATAACCAGCATCCTTTGAATATTAAAAGCTGTTTCCTTTTGATATTTAATTTACCCAGATGTAAAGTGATGGTTAGTCAGTGAACTAGACTTTTTGTTTTAGAGTATTGAGGACTTGGAAGAGTATAATGAAAGCCCTCTTTTTGGTGAAGAAAGTCAACTTAAAAAATACATCACCATGTTCCAAAATAAAATTGTGTCAGAGACTGTAAGTAGTGGATATTTAATCTTAAAAACTCAGAATTGATATAAGCACGGGAATATTTTATTTGTAGAAATGTGTATTGCAATTACTTAAATTTATTTTTTTGAGACAACTGCAGCAAGAGTTGGCACTTATTCAGAGGTCTCTTTAACCTCTGTTATTCTGATGGCTGACTAAAGAACTTGAACCTGTTATATTATACAAGCATAACTTGAGCTACACTAAACCACATGACAGTATTTAGTTAATTAATTCTTGTATAAATTAGTATATCTCCTCTATCATTAGTCTGTTTATTAAATGCCAGGCCTTGTTACTATGATCTGTTGAATGAACCCTAGACAGTTCTGTGAGAAAGCAGCAATTGCACAGTTATATACATGGTCAATTAAATTTTAACATTAAAGATAATTTAGTTTTAGGTTTGGCCTCTGTGGATCTGTATCAGTTCCAAAAATGTAGAAAGCATGGGCATGGAAAAGTACATTTTTCTCTAACAAAAGAAGACAAAACTTATTTTATTTTACTCATTAGGTTAAAGAGACAATTCCAATGAAAGTATGACTTCAAAAAATATATATACTCTATGGCCTTTCAAAATTATTAAAAGTACCTTAACATCTGTGTTCTTGAAAAAAAATTAAACTTCTATAAATGATTAAGACAACTGAGCAAGATATATTAATAGCATTGCCAAGCCACTGGTTTGTGGGTATGCCATATTTCCAAAGACATCAAAATGCCATGTAGTTTGTTTTGGTCCACCATTCAATGATACCTCCCCTTGGCATTGATTCAAAGTATTATATTAAAATTTATGCATGCTTACAATTATTTCACATCTATGGCAAGGTAAATTATGTAGAGTGCTTTGGTTTTCAAGTTTAGTATTTGTGGAGTATGTGGAAGTTTAAGTATATATATGCATCTAAAAACTTAAGTGATGAATTCTACCTTTCCTTTTGTAATATGCAGTTTTTGTACATAACATACAAAATGTTCATTTGGAAACACTTTAGTAAATATGAAATTCAGAATATATTTGGAGTAAGTCAGTTAAATGTATTCTTTTGCTGAGTTTCTGAAATTCCATTCATGAATTGTTCAAAAACACAATACCCTCATTGGGAGGAGAGGAGCGACTTACTCTCATTTTCCCTGGTTCTTTTCATTTTAATTGGCCCCTGTATACCACTCTTATTTTTTCAAGGTTTTCCAAGTTAAAGGAAAAAAAAGTTCATTCAGATTCTGCCTGCAGTCACTTATACAGGAATAAGTGAATCCTTATGGGGAGCATTTAATTTCTAAAACTTGCATTTTCATAAAGGATTTTCCTTTTACCCAAAGCATGTGTTGATGTGTAAGTCTAAGTACTACTTCAAGTTTCTAAGAAGATCCTTATTTGAGATCTCTTTCAGTAGTTACAGAGGCAAAATAAGCACTGCAGAGGTCCATGTGAGAGTTCTATTATACATCCTGGCCTATCTGACTATTTATTCTATAGTGGAAGGATATGAAAGACACCACAATGTACTTAGTGATGGAACAGCTGATTTATTTATTTTTATTTTTATTTTTTTGAGATGGAGTCTCACTCTGTCACCAGGCTGGAGTGCAGTGGCACGATCTCGGCTCACTGCAACCTCCGTCTCCCGGGTTCAAGCGATTGTCCTGCCTCAGCCTCCCGAGCTGGGACTACAGGCACATGCCACCACACCCAGCTAATTTTTGTATTTTTAGTAGAGATGGGGTTTCAGCATGTTGGCCAGGATGGTCTCGACCTCTTGACCTCGTGATCTGCCTGCCTCGGCCTCCCAAAGTGCTGGGATTACAGGCGTGAGCCACCGCACCCAGCCAACAGTTGCTATTTATGTCACCCCTTATTACCTCAAATGAGTAACTGTGTACTTGAAGTCACTCTGGCAGCTATTCTGAAGGGAAGAAAGTTTTTGCCCTTAAAAGTTATTAGGGGTGTGTGTGTGTGTGTACATAAATGTGTGTATATATATGTGTGTGTATGTATGTATATGCATATACATGTATGTATATAGCTAATATGCATATATATGCATATATGTATATGTGAATATATGCGCGCACACACATATATATTACTTTGTTTTTTAGAATTGTTTTTAGTTCACAACAAATTGATCTGAAGGTCTAGAGATTTCTCATTTACCACCTGTTCTCCCACCATAGCACTCCTCACTATCCATATCCCCCACCAGAGTGGTGCCTTTCTTACAACCCATGAACTTACATTGACACATCATTATCACCCCAAGTTACTTCAGGGTTCACTCTTGGTTCCTTTTGTGTGTGTGTGATTATTTTCCTCACGTCACCTGTGCTATAGCCCCTGTTTTATTTTTCATTAAGATAACATTTAATTTATACTTTTTTGTGACCATGAAATTTTAGGTTAGGATATCAGAAACAAGTAGCACTAAAACAAATGTAAAGATTCACTTTTCTCCTGAAAATGGTAAGACAGGTAACTTTTATTTACATACATATGCTTGAAAAATTGCAGTTAGTGCTTTTAAATTCTAGACTGAAGCACATATTTTATTTTATTCCATAATAAACACCCACTTTGAAGAATAGCTGGTATCAAGAGCATCATATCTCCTAATATTGTCTCACTCACCAGCTGAATGTTGAAGTGTCCAGTCACAAAGCACTAAATATATCCTTAGAGCAATGATGTACTGAACAAAATTCAGAGGTCATATGCAAAGACAGCACCCAAGAAAGTTTGCCCACAGACC